GTACACTGCATGCTGTTGTGTGACATTTTTAGAGTTTATAAGGACTTTAGAGGAAAGCCATGAAGATGAGATAATAGGAAAACAAAACCTGTGATAGGTAGATAATTATATAGAGGAATTGATATTATTTGTTCAAGAAGAATATGAGAAATAGCAGAACAGTTGTAAATAATTTTCCCTTCTTAAAAAATATTTTTTAATGTTTATTTACTTTAGAGAAAGAGAAAGAGACAGAGTGTGAGCAGGTGAGGAGCAGAGAGAGGGAGACACAGAATCCGAAGCAGGCTCCAGGCTCTGAGCTGTCAGTGCAGAGCCTGATGTGGGACTCGAACCCCATGAACCATGCCTGACCTGAGCCGAAGTTGGATGCTCAACTGACTGAGCCTCTCAGGCGCCCTGTAAATAATTTTCCCTTTAACAAATATGTATAGCCTACTGTGTACAGGCATTGTTCTTGTCAAGGATCTGAGGATGAGATGTGTTGAAGCTGGAATAAGCTGTAGCAAATGCCCCTTGTAGGAAGAAACAATTCTCCATCAGGGTAAGATGAGCTAGACTGGATCAGGCAAAATGCTTGGGAGATCTCCCGTAGTCTTTTTTTTTTTTTTTAATTTTTTTAAATGTTTGCTTATTTTTGAGAGAAAGTCAGAGTAACAGTGGGGGAGGGGCAAAGAGAGAGGGAAACAGAATCTGAAGCAGTCTCCAGGCTCAGAGCCTGACGTGGGGCTCGAACTCACAAACGGTGAGATCATGACCTGAGCCAAAGTCAGACGCTTAACAGACTGAGCCACCCAGGTGCCCCTCCTGTAGTCTTTAGAGATGATACTGTCTTGTGTTTCACATGGTTTAGGAAACATCTTGCATAATGGTACTCTTTGTGTGCCTTCCCAGACAGAATCTTTAATTTTTTTCCACTCTTGCTGGCTTTGTCTCCAAAAAAAGTGGGAGATAAAGACTTTTGCTAATTGCTCCATTTTTCTCCTAATTAAAATACGCTACAGTTTAGAGTGATGGGGATATCAGTATGCTAGAGTAAGTAAAATAGAATAGGATTTCAGCCTGCCCTGATTTATGCTTTCTCAGTGTAGGGTGATTAAAAAACCACCAGTTCCCTTATGTTTTCAAGCATAAGCACCAGAATATACTACAAAGCTAACTGTGGTCTTTAGGTTCTGTGATGCTCTGGTGATGAATCAGCCTTCAAATGGGTAATGGAGGCCCCTTAAATGGGCCCCAGGATTTCCTCAACCACCTTACCTTTAATTCAGCATGACTCTGTGAAGAAGTCATGGTGTAGAAGTGATTTTGAGGTAGTTCATTGTTCTGAAATTTCTTTGCCATTTTTTTCATTATTTGGATAAATAAGAGTTATCTATGCTTTCCGTAGTTTTTCTCTTTTACATTTTTACGAAAGTAAAAACAGAGTACAATTACTCTTTTTTTAAAGTGTTCATTTAAATTCCAGTTAGTTAACATACAGGGTAATGTTAGTTTCAGGCGTAGAATGTAGTGATTCACCACTTCCATGCATCTAGAACCCATCACGACAAGTGGCGCTCCTCAGTCTCCATCCTCTAGTCCCCCTCCTCACCTCCCCTCTGGTAACCATCAGTTTGTTCTGATAGTTAAGAGTCTGTTTCTTGGTTTGCCTCTCTCCCTCTTTGCTTTTCCCTATGCTCTTTTGTTTCTGAAATTCCACATATGAGTGAAACCACACGGTATTTGTCTCTGTTTTATTTTGCTTAGTACAATATACTCTAGCCCCATCCTTGTTGCACCCTTTAACATTTATTTGTTACTGTGAAAGCAGAACTGCAGTGTTTACGTGACTCACTATATACTGTCAGAATCAGCCTTTGATTTATAGACCTTCTAGAACCGAGGTCTCAAAATATGCTGTCTTACCCATAGTAAGATCTTAGCCATATCTTACCATATAGGAAATGTATTGTTTTACCTTTAATACTAAACTATAAGTGTCCTATATTTTTACTAAAACATCCAACTTAGACTTCATTTGATTTAAGCCTTCTCAATTTTGAAACAAAAGACTCAATTTACTCTGAAAAGGCACTGATTTACTCTTTCATGAATGGGAATCTGTCTGGAATCTTCTGACTCAGTGTGGTCTATGGACCAGCAGCATATGCATCACCTTTAGATGGTTAGAATATGCAAACTCCCTATTCTCCTCTCTCCAGTTATTGAATCAGAAGCTGCATCTTGACCAGAAACCCCAGTTAATTTGTGTGCATGCTAGGTTTGGAAATCACTGGATTTAAATCTATAAACCACACTAATTCTAGCTGAGATTGCTTTGAGGTTGGTGTCAGAACAGTTAATTGTAAATTCATCTACCTTCGATTTCGAGAAAAGATAAACCCAATAACTGTGAATGATTTGCGTAATCTGAAAATATTTAGAATGATAAAATTGCACAAGTTATATGAAGTCTGTGAGAAGTTAGAAATATTGGCAAGAAATAAGATAAAAATTATGCCAGAAAATACAAACCAAATGTTTGTGCAAAAGGCATTCTATAATGCATAGTATTGAGAAATTGAACATGAAAAACCTCGTGATACATGTGATATAGGCCTAATAGACAGAAAGCCAGAAATTAATCAGTGATAGATCACAGTGGTCACTGTTCCACTGCCAATTTGATTTGTTAGAGATTTTCTTAAACGCAGAACCTAGCTGTGGCTTGTGTACTTTTCATGCAGTAAGTGACACCGAGTGCTGGAAAAATAAAAATAAACTCGAGAGTGTTAAGAGATGGATTAGAAGATTGATTACGACATAGGAAGAAAAGATTTATGAGGAAAGAGAAAAATAATTAAATGGGCAGCACTGTGCTCTAAAAAGAGGCTATGGAGAGATGGATATTTATCTAATGTTTCACTCATGCTGTTTCCTATAGTATCCATATGAAATTTGCAGAAATATTAGGACTGTAAGGATGCTGAGAAATATGTTACAGAGCAAAGCAGTATCAGCTGGAACTACTCAATTAAATTAGGAGCAATATCAAAGATTACATCTCAGAAAATTTTTCCTGGTTCATGACAAATGACCTTGAATGGATGACTTTATCCCTGAGAACTTTTGAAAGCTCTGTGGCCAAAGAATGGAAGATCATTTATTAAGTTGTTGAATTATCTTCCCAGGGAAATGGCGGAATGCCATTCCTTGAAATTTCTAAATGTAGGGTGGAAAAAAAATCAGGATGTTGCCTATGGGAACTCTTCTCTACTTCTGGCGCAGACCTGGTGATTGCTGAGTGATGTTTTTCTTCTACAGTATCTTTGATTATTGTTCATGATTACCATACACAGATACATTTTTTTTTCTTCAAGTTGGTATCTTATTTAAGTTAAAAAAAAAAAAGCCAGCTTCTAGAAAAACAGCTAGGGAATGTCAGTCATCTGCCGTCCTTGCTGTCTGCCTTCTTGGCAGAGATAGGCTACCTAGCATTCTTTTCTCATCTCTCGTTACTACGTAGTTCATCAAGAGATGCAATTTAGTATATATTAGATGTGAATTCATTTCCTATATTCTCTTCATTCAGAAAGCTAAAAAGAAAAGCCCCCAATATGCCTTGCCTTTTGGAGCCATTTGTCAAAATGAATACAGAAACTATGTATGAAACTCTTAAATGAAATCATGTAGTTCTTCAGAGAGTTTCATGATCCTTTTCACCAGGTGAAAACCCAGCTCATATTTGCCTAGGAGTAATGGTCCAAGAGCACTACATTTCCTTCACCTCCCTCTGTAGATTTTTTTCCCCAGTGATACATATCAGCTGAAAAGCAGAGCCAGAACCCCAGTTTCACTGGTCACAATTACTTAATATTCTAATTTATTACTTTACTTTTTCATGCTAATTCCTTCACATCCACATTTATATTATCTAGGAGATCTAGCTTAATATAGGTGCTGCTAAGGATAATTTATATCAAATGTGTTGCCTGGAGATATTAGATATATTTCATGTTGGTATGTAGGAAAATTTGCCAAACTTAAATATTAAGTCACATTAATTAAACTACATAATGTGTTCTGTAACATGAATTGGTTTTTTTGTTGACGGTATTTTCTAAATTATTGTATAATTTTATTGTTTATGACTTTGTACACCTTCTTTAGTTTGAAGAAATTCTATATATCTGTAGCCCAGAATTCTTACTCTTTTCCTTCTTGAAAGAGATCTAGACCTAAACAAAAAGGTTAAGATTACATTTCACTGTTGTGTCCATAATACAAAGATAACATTCTCCATATCCTGTTTTGTGAAAACGGCTCTAACAAATTGCCAGTATCTTGTATGTGCAAACAACAAATATTTCCAATATGAAAACTAATTGGGAAATAAAAATAAAATTGATGGGTTACAGTCTTCCTTTTTCTTCTCTTGTTTCCTGACTGATTAGACCTACCAAAGGGGACAGGGGGGAAAGTGCTCTTTGTTTCTAAATCCTTTTACTAGTGTCATATTGATTCTCTCCCAAGTATACCTTGTGGTCTCAGATGATCACATATTTTCATTTGTACTCAAATTGATACAGCACCTTGACTCATGGGTTGACATACACTGCTTGTACTGTGGTGACACTGCTCACCATAGACATTCCTGGGGTGGGGTATACCATGACTCTTCTGCATGAAACAAGAGAACAGGCTGTTTCACAACAGTGTTCTCATTCTTTGAATTATTGTTCCTCCCAATTACCACCTTAAGTCTCCTCTGGTGTTGCTAAACGTTGCTCTTGACGTCTACAAGAATGCTTGAGCTCTTTTGTGTCTCTGCTGATGCAAAAAAATATTCCTCAGCTGAGTATCAAAATATTCTACTGTTACACTATTTATAAGAAAAAAAATGTGTCTTATGATACATTTATGAAGTGTCTGAAAGAATACAAGGTGACCTGCCTGCACAGCATTGCTTTGGTTCTCTTTCTTACCTTTGTATTCTCTCATCCCCCCTCCCTCTGTTTCAGCTAGCTGTGAGGTGGTTGGAACACAACTGCCATTACCAGTACATGGATGAGCTCCTGCAGTATATCCGCTTTGGCCTGATGGATGTGGATACTCTCCATACAGTTGCCCTGTCCCACCCCCTCGTCCAGGCAAGTGAAACTGCAACAGCTCTTGTCAATGAGGCCCTGGAGTACCACCAGAGCATCTATGCACAGCCCGTTTGGCAAACTCGCAGGACCAAACCGCGATTCCAGTCAGACACTCTATATATCATTGGTGGGAAAAAGCGTGAGGTCTGTAAAGTCAAGGAACTTCGGTACTTCAATCCTGTTGACCAGGAGAATGCTCTCATAGCTGCCATTGCCAACTGGAGTGAGCTGGCTCCCATGCCCGTGGGAAGGAGCCACCACTGTGTAGCAGTCATGGGGGACTTTCTGTTTGTGGCAGGAGGAGAAGTTGAGCATGCTAGTGGCCGGACATGTGCTGTGAGGACTGCCTGTCGCTATGACCCCCGCAGTAATTCCTGGGCGGAGATAGCACCCATGAAAAACTGCCGGGAGCATTTTGTGCTGGGTGCCATGGATGAATACCTCTATGCAGTTGGGGGTAGAAATGAACTGCGCCAGGTTCTGCCTACAGTTGAGCGATATTGCCCCAAGAAGAACAAATGGACTTTTGTGCAGTCCTTTGACCGATCCCTTTCATGTCATGCTGGATATGTGGCTGATGGTCTTCTTTGGATATCAGGTAGAACGTGCCTCATATGTTGGATTTATCAAAAAACACTTTTTCATTGTGGCATAAATTTAAAAGTCGAGTGTTGGTAGTTGTGGCCATGTTTAATTGAACCACTGAACCAAGGATGCCATTTTACCTAATTAACATTTATTACTGGAAACCTACTCTTTAGAGAGCAATGTAATTGGAAATAATTGAGCTTTCTGTGACTTTCTCAATGAGTAAAAATTCAAGGTGGAAATTAATGGCCCATCACATCCTTTTCTTACCAAACCTTCTATTGTTTAGATTGTCAGTTTTTGATACTCATGGATTGTTTTACACACCTTGTGGCTTGTCTAGATTCTTTGCCATTTTTTTTTTAACCACTCTGGGCTGCTTGACTAGGAGATGTTCCATCAAAGACAGGGCAGGCAAAGTAAAAGTCCAGTGAATCCATTTTGATGGGTATAGCAATAGGTATATATCCAGGTAGGAGCCATGTACATGGAGGGAAGAGATTTAAGTTATTGGCTAAGATATGTTTTTGTATTATCTGTGGATTATAGTTGTGCATACCATCCTAAATTCTTCATTCTTGTTTAATCTTCCATTCTTACCGATTATTTGGGTGTACTTACTATTTTAATTTACATTGTCTACACTTTTTTTAAGCCTTTTGATTATGAAAAAAGGAGACTAGTATAATGAATCCCATGTACCCATGGCCCAATTTCAGTAGTAGTCCACTCACTGCCAGTCTTGTTTCATCCACAGCATATATTCCTGCAAACCCCTACTGGCTACCTTTTCACTGGTACAGAGGGAGTCTATGAGGCGTAAGTTATTAACATCACATTATCAACCTGTGTTTCCAATCCAATTCTTGAAAAGATCTAAACTCTTCTCCTTTGAAAGCATTGCCCACTGGGGAGGAAAGTCCCATCACCTCTCAGAGGACACTCATTTTGTAACACAGATGGAACTTGTTGAATTCCCATGTCCAGGACAAAGAGAAATAGGAATATAAGATAAAAAAAAATTGATGTGCAAAAATATGGGTTTGGAATGTAAAGAAAACTCACAGGACCATCATGGAGTTACTTACGTTAAGGCCTCATGTCACTAACCCTAAATTCATTCCTGTAGGAATGTAACCTTTAACCAGTCAGCAATGAAATTCCTAGTCATTGCTAGAAATTTAACTGATAGTCCCCTGCCATTCCCTCAGGGAGGAAATCTCGCCTAAATAAGGTATTCCAAGCCACTAAATTTGTTTTATTTATTTTGAGAGAGAGAGAGAGAGAGAAAGAGAACACATGCAAGGGAGGGGCAACTTAAATACTAAGAGTAACTTTGAGATGTTTGTATTTAGAAGACACAATCACTTTTTTTTAAGTCTGTATGTCTTAATCTTTTTCATGTATTTTACCCCCCTCCCCACTGGCAACCACCAGTTTGTTCTCTGTATTTATGATTCTGTGTCTGGTGTTTTTGTTTGTTCATTTGTTTTGTTTTATAGGGCTCACACATAAATGAAATTGTGTGGTATTTGTCTTTTTCAGACCTACTTTACTCAGCGTAATACACTTTAGGTCCATCTGTGTTGTCACAAATGGCATGAGCTGATTCTTTCTTATGGCTGAGTAATATTCCATTTAGATTATTATAATAATTATATCTATACATATACACACATATATATTATATCACATCTTTATCCATTCATATATCATTGGACACTTGGGCCTCTTCCATAATTTGGCTATTGAAAATAATGCTGCAGTAAACATAGGGATGCATATATCTTTTCCATAGTGTTTTCATTTGGGGGGGAGAGGGTAAATACCCAGTAGTGGAATTACTGGATCATGTTGTAGTTCTATTTCATATTTTTTTTGAAGAACCTCCATACTGTTTTCCATAGTGTTTTCACCAGTTTACATTCTCACCAACAGTGCATGAAGGTTCCCTTTTCTCCACCTCTTTGACAACACTTGTTATTTCTTTTTTTTTTTTTAATTTTTTTTTCGTTTATTTATTTTTGGGACAGAGAGAGACAGAGCATGAACGGGGGAGGGGCAGAGAGAGAGGGAGACACAGAATCGGAAACAGGCTCCAGGCTCTGAGCCATCAGCCCAGAGCCCGACGCGGGGCTCGAACTCACATACCGTGAGATCGTGACCTGGCTGAAGTCGGACGCTTAACCGACTGTGCCACCCAGGCGCCCCAACACTTGTTATTTCTTGTCTTTTTGATACTAGCCATTCTGGATGGTGTGAGTTGATATCTTAATGTGGTTTTGATTTCCATTTCCTTGATTATTAGTAATGTTGAGCATCTTTTCATGTGTCTGTTGGCCATGTATATGTCTTCCTTGGAAAAATGTCTTTTCAGGTTCTCTACCCTTTTTTAATTGGATTATTTATTTTCTTGGGGTTGAGTTGTATAAGTTCTTTATATATTTCAGATATTAACCCCTTATAAGATATATGTTTTGCAGGTATCTTCTTTGATTCAGTAGGTTGTTTTTTGGTTTTTTGATGGTTTCGTTAAATGTGCAAAAGCTTTTTATTTTGATATAGTCCCAATAGTTTACTTTTGTTTCTCTTGCCTGAGGAGTCATATCTAGAAAAATACTGCTAAGACTGATGTCCAAGACATTACTGTCTGTTTTCTTTTATGAGTTTTATGGTTTCAGGTCTGACATTTAGGTCTTTAATGCATTTTGAGTTTTTGTGTGTGGTGTAAGAAAGTGGTCCAGTTTCATTTTTTCACATGTAGCTGTCCAGTTTTCCCAACATTGTTTATTGAAGAGACTGTCTTTTCACCCATTGTATGTTCTTGCCTCCTTTGTCACAGATTAATTGACCTTGTGAGTATGGGTTTATTTCTGGGTTCTCTATTCTGCTCCAATGATCTATATGTATACTTTTGTGCCAGTACTGGACTGTTTTGATTACTCTAGTTTTGTAGTATGGTTTGAAATCTGAGATTGTGATACCCGCCCTTCCTCCCCCAGTCTTGTTCTTCATTGTTAGGATTGCTTTTGCTACCCAGGGCATTTTGTAGTTCCATACAAATGTTAGGATTATTTATCCTAATTCTGCAAAAATATGCTGTTGGTATTTTGATAGAGGTTGCATTAAATCTGTAGAGTGCTTTGGGTAGTATGGATATTTTCACAATATTTGCTTTTCCAATCGATGAGCATGGAGTATCTTTCCATTTGTTTGTGTCATCTTCAGTTTCCTGCATCAGTGTTTTATAGTTTTCAGAGTACAGGTCTTTTACCTCCTTGGTTAAATTTGTTCCTAGGGATTTTCTTATTTTTGGCACAATTGTAAATGGGATTGTTCTCTTAATTTCTCTTTTTGCTATTTATTAGTGTATAGAAATTAACCAGATTTCCATATATTGATTCTGAATTCTGCAATTTTACTGAATTCATTTATCAGTTCTAGCAGTTTTTGTAGTGGAGCCTTCAGGGTTTTCTACAAATAGTATGATGTCATCTGCAAACAGTGAAAATTTTACTTCTTCCTTACAAATTTGGATGCCTTTCATTTTTATTCTGGTCTGGTTGCTGCAGCTAGAACTTCCAGTACTATGGTGAATAAAATTAGTGAGAGTGGCAATCCTTGTCTTTTTCCTAATCTTAGAGGAAAAGCTCTCAGTATTTTCCCTTTAAGTATGATATTAGCTGTGGGTTTGTCATATATGGCCTTTATTATGTTAAGGTATGTTCGATCTAATCCTACTTTGTTGAGACTTTTTTTTTTTATCATGAATGTGTTGTACTTTGTTAAATGGTTTTTCTGCATCTATTTAAATGATCATATGGTTTTTATTCTTTCTCTTATTGCTGTGATGTATCACATTGATTGATTTGCAAATGTTGAACCATTCTTCCATCCCAGGAATAAATCCCACTTGATTGTGATGAATGATTGTTTTATTAGTGTATTGTTGAATTTGGTTTGCTAATTTTGTTGAGGATTTTTTCATTTATGTTCCATCGAGATTTTGGCTTGTACTTCTCTTTTTTTGTGTGGTGTTTTTATTTGGTTTTGGTATCAGGGTAATGGTGGCCTCATAGAATGAATTTGAAGCTTCCTTCCTCTTCTATTTTTTGGAATAGTTTGAAAAGAATAGGAATCAACTCTTCTTTCAATGTTTGGTAGAATTCACCTGTGAAGCTGTCTGGTCCTGGAATTTTTTGTTTTTTGGGAGTTTTTTTTTTTTTTTTTTTTTTACTGATACAGTTTCATTACTGGTAATGCATCCGTTCAAATGTTCTATTTCTTACTGATTCAGTTTTGTGAAGTTATATGATTATAGGAATTTATCCAGTTCTATTAGGTTGTCCAATTTGCTGGTACATAATTTTTCACCATATTCTCTTATAATCTTTCATATTTCTGTGGTGTTGGTTGTTATTTCTCCTCTTTCATTTCTGGATTTGTTTATTTGAGTCCTTTCTCTCTCTCTCTTGTTGTTGTTGTTGTTGATGTTGTTGTTTATGAGTCTGCCTAAAGGTTTGATCATTACAAAGAACCAGCTCCTAGTTTTGTTGATCTGTCCTATTTTTTTTTCTTTTTAGTTTCTATTTCATTTATGTCTGCTCTAATCTCTTGTTATTTCCTTCCTTTACTGTTTTTGAGTTTTGTTTGTTCAACTTTTTATAGCTTCTTTAGGTATAAGGTTAGGTTGTTTGAGATTTTCCTTGCTTCTTGAGGTAGGCCTGTAGTACTATAAACATCTTTCTTAGAACAGCTTTTGCTAGGGGCGCCTGGGTGGCTCAGTTGGTTAAGCGGCCGACTTCGGCTCAGGTCATGATTTCGCACTCCGTGAGTTTGAGCCCCGTGTCAGGCTCTGTGCTGACAGCTCAGAGCCTGGAGCCTGTTTCAGATTCTGTGTCTCCCTTTCTCTGACCCTCCCCCGTTCATGCTCTCTCTGTCTCAAAAACAAATAAAGGTTAAAAAAAATTAAAAAAAAAGAACAGCTTTTGCTGTATCCCAAAGATTTTG